TGATAGTGCTATAATTTATAAGCTTATACGTACTTATTTTAGTGATAGTGCTATAATTTATAAGCTTATGTGTATTTATTTTAGTTAATAGTGCTATGATTTATAAGCTTATATGTACTTATTTTAGTTAATAGTGCTATAATTTATAAGCTTATATGTATTAATTTTAGTTATAGTGCTATGATTTATAAGCTTATATGTACTTATTTTAGTGATAGTGCTATAATTTATAAGCTTATGTGTATTTATTTTAGTGATAGTGCTATAATTTATAAGCTTATGTGTATTTATTTTAGTGATAGTGCTATGATTTATAAGCTTATATGTATTAATTTTAGTTAATAGTGCTATGATTTATAAGCTTATATGTATTTATTTTAGTGATAGTGCTATAATTTATAAGCTTATGTGTATTTATTTTAGTGATAGTGCTATAATTTATAAGCTTATGTGTATTAATTTTAGTTATAGTGCTATGATTTATAAGCTTATATGTACTTATTTTAGTTAATAGTGCTATAATTTATAAGCTTATATGTACTTATTTTAGTTAATAGTGCTATAATTTATAAGCTTATATGTATTTATTTTAGTTATAGTGCTATAATTTATAAGCTTATATGTATTTATTTTAGTGATAGTGCTATGATTTATAAGCTTATATGTACTTATTTTAGTTATAGTGCTATAATTTATAAGCTTATATGTATTTATTTTAGTGATAGTGCTATGATTTATAAGCTTATATGTATTTATATTAGTTATAGTGCTATGATTTATAAGCTTATATGTATTTATTTTAGTTAATAGTGCTATAATTTATAAGCTTATATGTACTTATTTTAGTTAATAGTGCTATAATTTATAAGTAAAATATGTATTTATTTTAGTGATAGTGCTATAATTTATAAGCTTATATGTATTTATTTTAGTTATAGTGCTATGATTTATAAGCTTATGTGTATTTATTTTAGTTATAGTGCTATAATTTATAAGCTTATGTGTATTTATTTTAGTTATAGTGCTATAATTTATAAGCTTATATGTATTTATTTTAGTTAATAGTGCTATGATTTATAAGCTTATATGTAATTATTTTAGTTATAGTGCTATAATTTATAAGCTTATATGTAAT